ATGTTCTGAAATAGTTTGAGTAATATAGGTGTCAACTCTTTCCTGTATGTTTGGGAAAATTATCCAGTGAATCCATCTGGGCTAGGACCTTTTTTTGGGGGAAGTTTTTTAATGACCTGATCAATATCTTCTTTAGTTATGGTTCTGTTCACATATTCTATCTCTGACTGGGATAGTTTCGGTAGGTCTTGTGTTTCTAGAAACTTACCCATCTCTTCTAGGTTCTCAAATCTGTTGAAGTACAGTTCTTCACAATATTGTTACTATTATCTTTTTTATTTCAGTTTGTTTGTCACCCTTTTCATTTATTATTCATGTTACTTGCATCTTCTCTTTCTTTTTCTCTGTTAAATTTGCCAGTGGTTTGTCAATTTTGTTAATCTTTTCAAGGAACCAGCTTCTTGTTTTGTTGATTTTTCTTTATTTTTTTGTTTTGTTTTGTTTTCTATTTTGTTTATTCCTGCTTTGATCTTTATAATTTCCTTATTTCTGGATAGTGTACACTTCTTTTGTTGCTCTTTCTTTAATTGTTGGAGTTGTTGACTTAGAGTGTTGATTTTGATTCTTGCTTCTTTTTTGATGTGTACATTTATTGCTATAAATTGACTTCTGAGTACTGCTTTCCCTGTGTCCCAAAGATTTGGGGCAGTTGTGTCTTTATTCTCATTTGTTTTTAGGAATTTTTTTTTGTTTCACATTTTATTTCTTCTGTTATCCAATACTTTTTGAGTAGTGTATTATTAGTTTCCACATATCTGATATTTTTTCCCTGATCTTCCTATTATTGATTTATACTTTTTTAGCATTGGGATCCAAGATGGTGCTTTGTAGTATTTCAATGTTTTTTTCTAATTTATTGAGGCTTGTTTTGTGTCTTAACATATGGTCTATTCTGGAGAATGATCCATGTGCACTGGAGAAGAATGTGAAGTGTGCTTTTATTGGGTGGAGTGCTCTGTATGTGTTTATGAAGTCAAGCTGGTTGATTGTGTTGTTGAGTTCTTCTGTATCTTTGTTGAGTTTTTTTCTTGTTGTACTATCCCTCCTTGAAAGTTGTGTGTTAAAGTCTCCTACTACTATTGTAGGGGAGCTCTGGTAGTGTAGTGCCTAAGGCACTTGACTGCTAATCAGAAGGCTGGCGGTTCAAACCCACCAGCCACTCCTCAGAAGGAAGATTGGACAATCAACTTCTGTAGTGATACCTCCTCAGAAACCCAAGGAGGAGTCACTATGAGTCAAAATCGACTCGATGGCAGTGAGTTTGGTTTGGTATTTATGAATTTATTGCTATCACTCTGCTGTGTTTTTTGTTGTATTGTTGGTGATTTCCTTATTCCAGATATTTTTCTCTGCTGAGCTCATTTTGTTATCAAGTGTTTCTTCTCTTTTCTTCATTATTTTTGGTTTTGTGCTTACTAAGCCCATGTGTTTTTCTTCTTTCTGTGTTTGCTAAGGGGGGTTATTAATTTTCTTTGTGGTTACCCTGAAGTAAATTATTATCTCCCTTAGTTTGGAACATTCAGTTCTATAAAGACATTCTCCTGTCTTCCTCTCCATTTGGAAGTTTTGTAATTAAAACTTTTATTCTTTCTATTTACTTTTTTGCTGATGTTGTGTGCAGATTGACTCCCTTATTTCTCTGTGTGCATTATTTTATGATGTTATTTTGAGCATCTTTTTCTGGTTTGGTTTCTAAGTGTTGGTGTCAAGTGTCTTGATTGTAATTTGTTGTTCTCTGTTGTTGGTTCTCTATTGGAAGGACTCCCTTTAGCATTTCTTGTAGGGTTGATCTGGTATTCACAAATTCCCTTAATTTGTTGGTCTGAGAATGTCTTGATTTCACCCTCATATTTGAGGGACAATTTGACTGGATATAGAATTTTCAGTTGGAAGTTCTTTTCCTTCAAAGTTTATATATGCCATACCATTGCCTTCTTCCCTGCATGGTTTCTGCTGAGAAATCATTACTTAGTCTTATTGGTTGTCTATTATAGGTGACATTTTCTTTCTCCCAAGCTGCTCCCAAGATTCTTTCTTTGTCTTCGATTATGATAGGTCTTCATGACGTTCTCTTGGGATCTATTCTGTATGGGATTCATTGAACTTCTTGGACAGATATATTTTAATGATATGGAGGTAATTTTCTGTAGCAAGTCTTCCACAATTTTCTCAGTGTTTTTTTTTTTTTTTTTCCCTCCTCTTCTTCTGGTATTCCAGTGA